TCCTTGGATCGAATAGGTCTATTGTTCGTCCACTAGTTCCCGTTCAATTTCTCAATAAAATCATTCTAAGTAATTTTTCACTAAGACTGCCAAATTTCTTTTTTTAAAATTAATGTTAGATGAGTGCATATTTTGGGCTAACATAATCCTTTTCTGTCCAAATCTTCTGGCCCCACTGGCAGCCACTCAAACATATGCCCACGGGCTAGACCAGATTTTAACAAGGGAAATGATGGTTACATTGGCCCAAATAACATCTAAATTATGCCACAAACGCAATGATACTGACAGCAATGGATGGTCGAACGAATTCCAAAAATATGCCGAAACGTAGTCCTACGAAGATAATCCTTTTATTTCTTTTCAAGCCCTTCTTTTTCGAACGCGCCCCCGACAAGAAGCCGTTTCATTCGGATTGGAGAAAATCTATCTGACCCCCCCCCACCCGCTTAGACCTGTATCCAAAGCGGATACAATCCTCTCTTTTTCCTTCATCCAGTTGCTATGGCCTAGACTACTTTGGATATTCCTGACTTTATGCGCATCACCCGACTCACTGTGCGGATGTGACGTGCATTCGTCTTCCTGTTTTCCTGTCTTCCCTGATGTTTGGTTGGCCGGGCTACCGACCCTCTGTCCTTTGGCTTGCCGCAAATCAACCTCCAGTTTCCGTCCTTATGGAACACACGAGGCACACGTGCAGCCCTTCATCCATCCACCAACCCACTGCCGCCAGCAGACACCCCAAGCCGCTAGTCCACGAAGGGCATGCATGAAGTCGGGATGAGATTTTCTGGCCAAGCCACTGAGGCGGGGTGGGATTTGGATTATAGCGGAACTGGTCACGGTTACAGCAGTTGACCTCAGATCAGATTTTATGCCCCATCACGACCACGCTCCCCACTTTGGCAAGTCGGTCGTCGACCGAACGGATAACCAGGGTCTATCTCGACAAGAGGTAAGGGGTCTTAGCTGTAAAGGGAATCGGATGAGCACAGCCTTGTATGTCTCCGACTGCGATTTCAACAATTTGATGAATGACACGGCCTAAAAGCATTCGTCATTTCCCGATTATCTATCTTGTCAGCCCTGATATGACGAAGAGCCTAGGTGATAGTCGACCAGACTTCACTTCTCGGAAATAGGATATAACTGCTCGAATTTAGCACAGGACATTTTACGGAGCAACCTTATTCGTGAGCTTGTCAGCAAACCCATTCTGTTGTCACAGCAAACTGGGCAAAGTACCATTTTAAATAGTAGTAATAACAGTTAAACGTTCGTTGGAGATGTTTGATAAAGTAGTCGTTCCAAGCACAAGGGTTACATGATGCTTTTATAAAATACTACTTATATGCTACTTATAACGTTTACAATATCTTTGTAAGAGGGCTCTAGCTCTGCTTTTTCCTGAGCAATTAAACTTCATTCGCGATGCAACTACGTGTTCTCATGCATTCAGCTGGTTACTCCAGCCATAAAATACATCAACACTTCAGTTGCTAGATCCAACAAACAGTAACAAAAATACAGTCGTAAACGGCAGCTACATCTAGTAAGAATTTCAGTCACCCTATGCCATAGGTTACCCAAAAAGATTTAACTCGATTTTTGCATATTATATGCACACAAATAATTTTTTTGACTTTATATTTAGATCTCCGTTCGATTTGCCATTATTAATACCGTTAAAATTGAGAGATGAAAACTCAATTAGCAGCCATATGTAACTAGATTTCGAAGCAAACTCATATGCCCAATAAAGGTAAGTATAATATGATTAGGGAAACAGCTCATTTTGCCGGTTTAGTTCAAGCAATAAGATCATAAATTTACTTTTACCTGTTTTTGTGTTAGGACAAAAAAGTATTTTATCTATGAAAGAAGATGAGCTGAAGACAAAGACGAATTATGCAAAATAAGCCTCGTAAATTTTAAAGTCTTTGCACTTCTACCATAAATTGTTTATAGTTTTACTTAAAGCAGTCAGATTTCCAAATATATATGCATATGTGACATTTTATTTTGCTTTAACTCCATTCTAGTTCCTAGGCAATTCTGAGATACCGGCGAAATTACAGGCATCCCCCAGACGAATAGTTACGACATAAATTCTGTGTTCTCTTCCGGTTATACTCTTGTGTGGATTTAGCTCAGTTGAGCAAATCTTTGCTACCTGCCAATTCCAGTTATCGGACGCAGAATTGGCCACTTCTTGCCGGTTTAAGGCATGATTGCTAAACGAGCTTGCAAAATGTGTATTTGGCCTCACTCATCATTACTTATTTTACCAGAATCAACCCCAATTTTCGTAAATGCTAAAGGTTGTATACGTCTAAGTTACATCAATCGTGATTCTCTCACCTAATCCACCCGTAACACGAAGTATTTTATGACACTTCTCTCTTTGCTAGGAACAGCAAGCAGAAGACTTTGCTCCTTAGATTTTCGTAGTAGTGGCGCCATATATCAATGCAGCCAGTTTAGTCAGTTTGTCTTGCCATATAAGTGGAAAGAGACAAGACACCATAAGCTATCAATAATTCGATGAGAGTTGGCCTCTGAGATATACAAGCTAGTTGCTAAAACACATACAAAGTGGTGTCACAACTTCAGAAATAAGCAACTTTATAGACTTGCCGGCAACATGAGAAAAAATTAAGTCAATAAAAATATTTAGTCACGACGGCATCAGCACCAAGAGGCAACCAAGGCTGCAAAAGCAGTTGTTTTCTGTTCCCAGACACTTGCCGATCATCAAGACATGTTGTTAAACGATTTGTTAACAGAATTACACCATGTTACACCGAATTAAATCATGCTGCTTTTGCTGTTTTCAGGACCACTAGTTATGTATTTGCTGTTTCGTTGCCTCCTCTCTCACACCCAAGAGAGACAGGGTGAATTTTTTGCATCATTTTGATTTTGATACCAAGACGGTCTCGCGTATCGTTTCGATAAATATATCGTGTCCTAAGTTAATTAACATCTAGTGAATAGGTTTTGAGACTATCAGCAAGTTGTGAATAAGCTATGAGGAAAAACTGGGTTCCGAAAAATATTCACAAGTGAGTAGGATTGTGAGACTACCAGTAAATCAGTGTAATGAGATGTATTCACCCTATTTCGTCTAAGGTGATGAAG